TGTTACATTTGTCTCCTTGTTAAGCGAGTGCCTTTTATTTCATGATAGCCTATACAGTGCCTTTTATTTTCTTCTGTAGTTTTGTTCTGTATTAGTATACAATTGTACTTCTGATGAATATAGATCAGAGATCTTCACCCGATAACTAGCAGATTGTGTGCACATGTATACAACATTAAGAACACGAGGGAAAGCATTATTCTGCCTCTGTATGTCCTGCTGGGAAGGATATTTTGAAATTAAGTGATGATTTAACAGTTTTTGTCTGGAATTTTTGTCTTTCTAATTTGTTACCTCACTGCAGTTCCATTATCATTGTATTATGTGTTGTATTTCCATTCTGGAAACCTTTATGTCATTTATGGTACACAGTTTCAGTAATCAAATGTTAAATGTAAGTATCAGTAGCTGCTGGTAGTAAAACTGATAAGCTGGAGCGTAATGTGTTTTGGTGCATAGAATGCCTTCCTTTTCTACTGTTAGTCATTACAGTGTCTGATGATGGAGTTGGAGAAATTTCATTAAAATGTCACTATTTAGTGAATTTCAATTAAAATTTGAATTTGATACAAAATTGTACTTTGCAAAGTTACATATATGGAGTTTATGATGGTATTTACAGAGGATTCTATACATTTACATGCTTATGAGTTAAAGCATTTCCTAGACATGCCATCTAAATAAACCTTTAAACAAGAATTACTGCCTTGAGTTTTTAACTAGATTCATTTTATTGTTTTATCCTTTTAATTACACATATATAAGGCACCTTAATTACATGTGGTGAAATACAAATACTTCCAGGAAATCAGGCTTTGGTTAAACGCAAAGTTATGCAAATTAACGAGTGATCTGGAAAAAACGTAATCTTATTTTAATTCTGGCTTCTTACTAGGTTTGGTGAACAGGGATTGAACCAAAATGTATGATCTGTCTTGTTTTCTCAATAATCATTTATATCTTAATTACATTAGAAAGTTAGATTATCCTAAAATGAATAAGCAGTGTATATATATGCAAACATACCTTTGAAATTGTAGGTTGAATCTGTCAGCTGTAGGTTCTGAATATACTGTACCTATTTCAGATATGTTTTAGCTAAGTAGAACCCTAAGTATGCTGCCAGTTGTGCAACCAGAATTACATTGGCTTTCCCTGATTGCATATAACCAAGAACTACATATTATGCACTTATTACAATATCTGTGACATTATATGGAACTACCAGCATATATCATCCTAAAAAAACTAGATGAGTTGTCATTTGGGTGGAAATAAAAATATCGGAACATAAAGTTAGGAATTTCTTGTAGACTATTCTAGACAGTGTGTCCCAGACTTCAGATAAGTAAGAAACAAAGAACATGTCATGATAATTGCACAGGTTGGCCCTAATGTATGCGTTTTCCTCCTGAATTCAAATGGGGTAGCACAACATTGTACTTAAGGCTAAGAGTAAGGAAAAATAATGTGCCCTCAGAGGAACTCAGCCCTGTGTTTGTCACCACATTGGAAATGTTTGAGGTTCGCCAGGGAGGCATTTAGGAAATTTTAGACTGCATTTAATGGGAGTGTCTTTACATAGCTGTATGTATTATTTCACTCACACTATTGCATGCTTGAGCCACTTCTTCCATATCTGGAGGTTCTCTGCTTCTGTAGGCCCTTGTCTTCTGTAAAATATGTTAAATTTATGGGCAAATTATATGAAATCAATATTTATATTTGGGGAGCACAACTTAGTTAATAGTCAGCTCTGCCTATAATGAAATTGAGCTCTCTGTTATTTTGAAAACTTGGCAGCCTTATGATGCAGAGATGCAGCCAAATTAAGCCATAGAAGAGGATCTGGGATAAGTCACAGTTGACAACAAACACATTTTTACGATTTCCTTCAGAATATGATGATAGTCACATAGTCTTACCCTTCCCCTTAAAGAGAGAAACTTATAAACAAATATTCTTGTCTTTGAAGGCTACATCAAATCTGATATATTTCTGTGTTCAGCATTTACAATTTTACATTGAGACCAGCTAATCGAATCCTAAATCCACCAGAAAGTCAGGACCTACTTTACTAATGGGCCATGGGCACAAGCAGAGGTATGGTGTGCTACCATGAATCTACATGCAAAAAAAGTCTGAAAATCATACAACAATATAGATGAGTGAAATCTGCAAAGCTGGCAGTGGTAAAACTTACAACATGTAAAGCAACAGTAAAATCCAGAAAACATAAGGTTTTGATCAGCATAATAATAAACATTGGAATATTAAATTCAACTAATACTAAAGGTTTTTTTTTAAAAAAAAATCACAATGTCATACAACAGAGGAGGGCAACAGTGGTTCTCCAGCTGTCCTTGCCTTCCAACTTTCATGTGCCTTAGTCACTAAGGAATGATAAGAATTAGGATCCCAAAATAGCTTTTAAGGTGAGGAGGGTCAACAAGAGCAGGAAAGTTGCTATTATGCTTGCTTGCAAGTGATTAAAGTGGGAAAGAAAATTATTTTTCTCACTCATTATCACAGAAACAGCCTTAAAGCATGAAAATGCTTGGATTAGAAGCACAATGTGTTAATTGCAATTTACTCCCAAGGAGTAAGTTGCAATAGTGCTATTAAATAATCTATTTTTGTTTTATTGATTATTCTAAAGCCTTTGACTGTATGATCACAATAAATTGTGGCAAGTTCTTGGTGGTATGGGGATACCAAGCCACCTTGTCTCTCTCCTGAGGAATCTGTATAATGACCAAATAGCAACAGTAAGAACTGACCATGGAACAACAGATGGGTTCAAGATTGGGAAAGGTGTACAGCAGGGCTGTATATTCTCACCCGACCTATTCAACTTGTATGCAGAAGACATCATGCGATGTGAGCCTTTTAATCAAGGTGAAAGTAGAAAGCGCAAAAGCTGGGTTGCAGTTAAACATAAAAAAAAAACCCAAGATTCTGGCAACCGGACTGATTGACAACCGGCAAACAGAGGGAGAAAACATGGAGGCAGTGACAGACTTTGTATTTCTAGGTGCAAAGATTACTTCAGACGTAGACTGCAGTCAGGAAATCAGGAGACGTTTACTTCTTGGGATGAGAGCAATAGCCAATCTCGATAAAATAGTGAAGAGTAGAGACATCACACTGGCAACGAAGATCCGCACAGTTAAAGCAATGGTATTCCCCATAGTCACCTACGGATGTGAGAGCTGGACCATAGGATGGCTAGGCGAAGGAAAATAGATGCTTTTGAACTGTGGTGCTGTAAGAAAATTCTGAGAGTGCCATGGACCGCGAGATGATCCAACCAGTCCATACTTCAGGATATAAAGCCTGACTGCTCATTGGAGGGAAGGATATTAGAGACAAAGATGAAGTACTTTGGCCACATAATGAGAAGAGAGGAAAGCTAAGAGAAGACAATGATGCTGGAGAAAATGGAAAGAAAAAGGAAGAGGGGTTGACCAAGGGCAAGATGAATGGATGGCATCCTTGAAGTGACTGGCTTGACTCTGAAGGAGATGGGGGAGGTGACAGCCGCGGCGGCTGGTCCATGAGGTCACGAAGAGTAGGAAACAACTGAATGAACAAACAATGCAGTTTTGCTGCTTTGATTTTGCCACATCATTTCAGGGAGGCTCAGCCCATCCAGACTAGTCTTAGGGCCTCATCACACTTGATGAGTGGATTTTCCACTTCAATACACTTTAAATGCTGTGACTGCCTCATGCAGAATTCTAGGCTTTGCAATTTAGGGAGACCCAGGGCTTCTCAGGATAAGCAATTTAAAGACCCCTCCCTAAACTACAAACACCAGAATTCTGCAGGAGGCAGTCACAACATTTAAAGTGGGCTGAAGTGGAAAAAATTCTGCGGTTTGTAGTTTAGGGGGCCCCAGGGCTTATCTAGATGAGCAATTTAAAGGCCCCTCCCTAAACTACAAAGACCAGAATTCTGTAGGAAGCAGTCACAACATTTAAAGTAGATTGAAGTGGGAAAATGCTCAAGTGTGGTGAGGTCCTTAGGAGATGGTGAAGCTTGTTCAGGGATCCACAACAGGAACAGCAATCCTGACTCCAAAAGAACTTAATTTGTGCAGTTTGAGTTGTCTTCACTTGCCATAGACCCAAATAAAAGCTTTGCTGCTCAGCCAGGTTCTGATATTTGATGTGTACCTCTTAACTTTGGCTATCGTGTTTTAGTTCTTGTACTTCATAAAGTGTGCCGAAATTGATTACAGCCTATGTAAAAGAAAGCTTTTCTCTCTCCCTCTCTCTGGAGCAGGCATGGGCAAACTTGGGCCCTCCAGGTGTTTTGGACTTCAACTCCCACCTTCCGGCTGTTAGGAATGGTGGGAGTTGAAGTCCAAAACACCTGGAGGGCCCAAGTTTGCCCATGCCTGCTCTAGAGCTAGAGTTTGGTTTGCCAAAGACCTTGTAAAACTGCAAATCCCAGTATTCCATAGCTTTGAGCTGTTAAAGTGGTATCAAACTGCTGTAACTCTGCAGTGTGGATGCACCCCAGAAGGACCAAACTTTGGGAATCACTGGACCAAATATGTAAAAGATGAAGAGAGAAGTTCTAGTCGAGTCCTGCTTGCATAGGAAAGGCTGCAGGCAGTCCATCTTGTGCAGAGATGCTAGGGAGAGGCTGCACTGAACAACAGGGGGTAATTTCTGCATAAACATCCATCTTCTTACGGATGTTTCACTCACAATGGATGGGGAAATAATTTTGTATCCTCCTGCAATAAAGAGGCAAAATTAATAACACTTCCAGCCATTACTGGGCACTTAAATATATTCCCTGCTTGGAGGCCACCCTGCTCTGTTTTGCTCTCCAAAAGGAAGGGGGACAGTTGCCAGGAGCCCATAGAACTGATGCACCAATGAGGTTTGCCGCTTTCTCCCCTTCTTCCAATCACCAGCGCCGCTTCCCAAAGTGCGCCCCGCCTACAGGAGGAAGGGAGCCAATCCGGTGCCGCGTCTTTTGCCTCCAGCTGCCTCAGAGTTCCTTACTCTGTCTCGAGTGATGGGGGCGGGGCGTTTGCGGGGTTGCTTCCGGAAGCGGCCGGTTGCCGTGGAAACCGGAGTACCCGGATGGTCTTTGAGGCTACGGAGAGGTGAGACTGACCTGCATTTGATGGAGTGCAGTTTCTTTTAGGAACAGTGCTTTTGAATGGATTTTGGCATTCCATATCAGTGCATTAAAGTTTATTGAAAGAAATATTACAAAACTTTAACCCAGGCATGGAGAAACTTGGGCCTTCCCTCCAGATATTTTGGACTCCAACTCCCACAATTCCCAACAGCCTCAGGCCCTTTCCTTTTCCTTCCCTAGTATCTCTGCACAAAATGGACTACCTGGAAAGGAAGGGACCTGAGGCTATTGGGAATTGTGGGAATTGGAGTCCAAAACACCTGGAGGGAGGGCCCAAGTTTGCCCCAGCCTGGGTTAAAGTCTTCTGATACTGTTTACTGCCCAAATAAATCAGAAAAACCAGAGCTCAAAATTCCCAAAGAAATTAGAATACATTTAACAGGTTTTATGATCCTAAATTTTGCAAAGGAAAGGAACAGACTCTAAAATACAGTACTTCTTGAACTAGTGTTAGTTGTTCTGCATTTATTAATTTGTGATTTGAAAAGCAAATATTGTTTCCTCTTTTAAAAAAGGTAATCTTCAGTTCAGATATCCTCCCATTGAGTGGCTTATTATGGACAAGTAGCTTGATGTAACTCCGAGAAAATAATATGATGCTCTTATGCATGCCGTTCTGATGACCTAAAAGGAAAGTAAGAGAGCATTCTATTATTCATATATTTGGCTTTGCTTGAACACTGTAAATTGATATTTAGTTATTTGAGTGACTGTCCCCCCCCCCCCCCCCCCCCACGGGGAAATAGGGCAGGATACAAATAAAATGAAGACATCTGCCCTCATCTTTGCTACTCTGCTGCTGAATACGCATGCTTAGTGTGGAATACGTTGTGTGGAATACATCTCACCATGTTAAAACAGTGGATGTGGCTGTTTATGAGACATGCCGCATTTCTTAAATCAAGAAATAGCTTCCTAAGATCTACAGAGATACATGTATGAACACCTCAGTAAGTGAGAGTCCAAAAGTGGCAGGCTAAAACCTGGAACCTCAATCAGTGGCTGAGATGACTTGGAAGGCTGAGCGACCTGTAATCCTAAGTAATGGGGCTACGAAGTTGAGTCCACGACATACGAGTGTGGAGAAGAGCAAACTACAGGCCACTTACTACAATGCAGTCTGAACCCAGCCACATGCACAATGGTGGGCCTTCTCACAGTGACACCAAGGGCACTCCAAGTGGCCAGCTTCTGGTCAAAGGAAATTTAGCATAATGCCAAGTTTTTAACTTTCTTTGTGTTTGTGTGTGTGTGTGTGCATATGATGCCGAGCATCCCCCCCCCCCCAAGTCTGCTTGCTTGCTTTGAACTGCAAGCCACCTCCATTTCCACAAACTTTCTCCAGAACCATGGGACTCCAAGTTTTCAATTAAAATCAGTTCCTCTATTAAATATACTTGGGATGTGGGACAAAGATGGGGTTTTGTTGCCATGAAATGCTTATGATTTGAATGTATGTATCTTGCTGTGTAGTATGGTCTATTCCCCCTTTTCCCCTTGACCCTTGCCCCACAAATGATGTGACCAGGAACTGCCTGAGGGAGAACCTCTGCATCTCCCAAGACTCGCCTTTGATTAATTCACCCTGCATGGAACCATAGCCATAATGGCCCCTCCCCATTCTCTGAGCATGTCTGATGGGATAAGGGGACTTATGGACGCTCGGAATAAAAAGATTGTATTTGCATAAGGCATCGTTGATCCCCCCTGAGGTCCGATGCCGAAATAGTCATTCATATCCCCCCCCCCAAAGCTGCATCAGCTGGAGACATTTTTCCTTTGTTTCGCTGAGCACATGGCATTCCTTTGTCTGCAGATTCCTTTCCCAGATTCCTTTGTGCTCCCTCATCCCGCCCCCATTTCTCCTGATTGGCTGTCGCCACCATGTGACAGAGGTCTCCCCATTGGATCCTACAGACCACTGGAGCTTCCTGATTGGTACAGAGGCGCCAGGGGCGGGAGGGCTGCCTCCCAGGTGTCCGCCCATCACCCAATCACAGCGGGGAACATCAGAGGAGCCGGGGCGGAAGGTTTGAACTCTGGGTTTTCAAAAATTGTATAAATATGCCTGCATCACTGTACTCCGGCATGCTTGCGGTGGAATGATTCCTGCAATGCATCCGATATCAGCTGAATCGCAAATAAACGCCTCGGTCGCTGGACTTCTTCCGCTTTGCTGAGGTCTTATTATTTTAATATTCCTCGCGGCTCTGATTGGCTCCCGCTGGCCTCACCAAGGTTCAAGGGCCCTTTTGAGCGGTCCTCAGGGTTCTCCTCCGCTGGGGAGACCCTCCCAAAGGAGCTCGATATCACATACACACACAACATACACACACACATTATAACTGTATCCTCTATTCGCTTCAGACCAGATAAATAAAATAACAAATAAAGGGGTTTTTTTCATTATTTTAAAAAGATGCTTAGGTGAACCAATTAAATGTTATGTATCCAATATGCATTCAATCTGCACATTACTAATGAATAATCAGTTTAGTTTACAGTGCAAGCCTGTATCTACCAAGGAACAAACCCTGGATCATTAAACTCAAAACAGTGATAAATTCTAACATGCAGATGCTCATCAGGACAGGCCCTCAGCCAAGACCAAAAGAGAGTCTAATAAATGCAGTGAAGACTGCAGTTAAGTTTCAAGAGAGAAGCAGGACATCTGAATGAGGTAACAGGCATCATCATTGACCCTGCTAATCAAAGGCTCCCAGCATTTTGACCCTGGCTCCACTACACCACTGGTTGGCTTCTGTAATTTCAGCTAGCCTTTTATTAGATGAGAGGATCTGTAGTAATAAGACAAGGTGGTGTTAGAAACTTCATGCCAAACAGCCACTAAGTCCTTGTGGTTTTTTAAATAAACATTCAAACTATCTGATATTTTAAAGTAATTCTGTTATTGCCTTTTCCTCTCATATTTAATAACTTTAACAAAGAGTACCGTATGTGCCTATTCTTGTACAGGTAATTGATCGCAATTCTTTGCTGGTTAGAGTTGCATTTTTCTGCTTCATTTTAATCTTTGAAGTAAAACTAAAAGTGTGTGTTTGTGCACACGCCTTTGCCTGTGAATTACATAGAAGAAAAGTCAATTAATTTAATCAACTTTTGCTTTTAAATAAAGTTGGATCTAAATGGAATTATTGTACATTTATGACTATAACGAGCATCTGCTTTAAAATCTCAGTTACTAAGGAGGCTCCATTAAAAACGCTCTGGTAGTCTGTTCTCAAAATAGAACAGTGAATTTATACAAACAGTTTGATTTAACTAGATTGTAGTTGTTTTAACTGGATAAAACGGTAGAACACATCTCTATACTAGGGCCAAAAACTGATGATGAGGTTTGTACGCACCTGGAGAACACCAGGTTGGAACAGCTGTTTATAGGATAAGTGGAGAGAATATAGGTGAAGAGAATAGTATGTGTGTGTGTATATGGATAGTATGGTCACTATGATCTGACTATGTATACTACTTAATAATTCAAAGCACTTTCTTTGTTTTTAGAAATGGAAAACACAGTTTTAAGCATAGAACCAAAGTATATCAAGAACCTCCAACAGCAAATTTATTTCCTTGAAGCGGAAGCCAATTTTCTATATCCTGTACTGTTCTATCTAACATTAAGTAAAAACTAATTGGCTAAAGCATAATACAAACAGAACATACTTGATATGTACAATTGAACTAACATGTTTTTATCATGGAAAACAAATGAAAGCTGCTTGACTCTTATCTATTTTCTATTTTCTTTAATATTGGTTATGAAAATGAATGCATCCATGATGAATACAGGTAATACCAACGTAAATTTCCCCTTTGACCTTAACTGTTATCACTCGTGAACAGACCAAAAAAGCTACTGTTCTTCAGCCTCATATGACATCTGAAATGGAGCACTTGCGGCAAAAGCTACAGGTAATCTTTTTACAATCTATTTTGGACAGTTAATGATATAACCAATATTTGTGATTCATTCTTTCCTGCCTTAATTTTAGTTAAATGAGAGTGGAGCAACATTTGTAGAATAATATACTATCATTTTTGAGGACAATACACTAGGGTGGTTTTTTATACTTTACTTGTTGTTTGTAGCACAGTATTGGAGTCACAGAAATATCTTTCCCAGAGCATTAGCCCCATTTCTGCAGCCTCTTCCAGCAGTTCAACATTGGCCAAATTCATAGTGGTTTAAAATCTAAAATCTTATAATGAAGAAAAGTCAAATGACAACAACAAACAAGTGTACAATAAATTAATGTACAGTGGAATGACAGCTTTAGGCATCCATATTCTCAACCATTCTAATTTCTACCAACTAGCCTGACCAATTGTCAGGGAAGGGACTTTTAGTCCTATAGCATTGCAAGGGCCATAGGTAGCTCACTTTTAATAAACAAGACGGTCACATTCTGTTCTAAGTCAAACATCCCGTTTGTTATAAAAGACATTGAAAACTGTCGCTAATCTACTTTCCTGCTTTTCAAAATGTATCTGTGAAGTTAATTAAAATGAGTCAGACTTTTTATTTTCTCACAGGAATTACAGTCTCAGTCTGATGGCCTCCAGCTAGAGCTAAAAAGAAAAGAAAATGGTCTGAATGTGCTGAAGGTAGAAAAAGAACAACTTCGTAACCAAATCATTATAGCTAATGGTAATTCTTCATTCATTATTACTATCTTGATTGGTTTGTAATGTTGATGTCTACTTTGCCCCACATCCCAATTTTTTTTGATTGGCTATACAATCATGAGACAAAAACTATAGGATAAATTGAACATGGAATGTCTTCCCTCATAGCGTCTTAGGTACCAACTCTGGGAGCTTTTACAGTCCCCTACTAGTGGTGCAGAAGAGAAAATCTCCTCTTCCAAATTCTTCAGATAAAAGCTGTTTCATCAATATAGCCTGCAGTTGATATAATCTGTGGCATCCTTAACTATTGGTAAAGGAAACTAATATACATGTTATCATGGCAATATTAGAAATCTAACAATCCAAAGAATATTCTGTTCATAGCTTTATTTATTTTTTTGACTTGTCCTACCCCTTGAATTCCACATTGGGACAAAGATGGTATATAAATTAAATACATTCATTCTCTCATTAATTCATTTAAAAAAGAAAAGTTAAAACATGATGAAACTCCCTTTTTACCATATTGTTTTGGAAAGTAGCAAGAAATCAGCATGAATCTAATTACTGCATTTTAATATGTTTAAATGTTTAAACGTATTTTATAATTCTATTTAAATATTTGTTTTAACTGTACATTGTTTGAAGGCATCAAATAGTTGCCTAAGTGTAAGCCACCTTGAGTCCCCTCTGGGGTGAAGAAAGGCAGAATAGAAATGTTGTAAATAAATAAATAATAAATGGTTCAAGAAGTCAGGCATGTCAGGCTTGTGCCAATCAGTTTTTCCTCTATAGTCTGTGACAGGCACAGTAGTCTACATATCATTGTGTACAAATCATTATGTACATCCAGTATTAGTGAAGGCATACTAAATAATTTTCACATTTCCACAAGAAAGGGTCTTCTGGGAAGCCAAGATCACATGGTGCTGCTGAAATAGTTAATCTAGTGTTTTTTGCAGCCTTATAAAATGAGGCAAGGGGAAATATATTGAGCACTTTTTAGTAGACATAGTTGTTTTTAATTGTAAATAACTGAGGTAAACAAACAAAACACCTTTTATGCAAAATGACTGTCTTTCTCCCCCTTTTAAAATATTTCTATATTTTGTGAATAAAAATAAACCTAAAATCGACATTCTGTCAACAAATAGCTGCCTTGAAAATTTTAGATGAAGCTAAGTACAGTTTTTGATTGCTATAACTAATGATTAATAACTTATTTTTGTTTATTTTTAGTTGAATTAAACTGAAACAATCTAATTTCTGTTTATATTCAGTTTGCAATAAGATCCAATCTAGGGTTGCAGCCCAAGAGAACCATTTCTACAGCTAATGCCAAGAGATAACTCTTGTGAGATTGTTTCTGTTTCTGTCCCTGAAAGATGAAGAAGCTTTTTCAAAATTGATATGGTGGGGGCACATGTGTCTCCCTCAAATATGTTGGTATGTTCCCTTGACTGGATAGTTCTACCCATGAAAAAAATAGATTAATATCCTAGACTTTCATATCATATGATGCCAGGGCAACATACAATAACATCAGTTAACCAATTTGAGCAATATAAAACAATAGCAAAGCAATTGAGAAACCCCATCAACAATCTTCAAAAGCAATTCCAAAGATTCCAGATATCTCATTTTTAGATGGCAGTATTAAGACCCATTCACTGCAGAGTTCTTCACACAGCAGAATGAAATTGGAAAAATGTTGCCTGCGCTCTGAGGAGATAGATACTGTTCTGGGATCACAACAGCTAGTTTTTTCAACATCTGTACCATAAGAGATGGCTGCTGCTTCTATGCTAGCTCATTCCTCCTGCAGGTAATTGCATGGAAAAATTTGCAGTGTGTGAACGTGTTTTATATTAATTTTTTCCCAAGGTCATTCATGCTAGCTACCCAGCTGTAAACATAGAAATGACAGCAATCTGGAGAAGTGATCTGACAATGTTGGCTAGCTACATCATTCTCTTGTATATTCGAGGCTATGCACATTGTTCCATCTTAATTCTGCCATCCTGAAGAGCCAAGGGCCATCCAGTCCAATGCCCTGCCTGCAGGAAAGCCCAATCAAATTACTCCCAACAGATGGCCATCTGCTTAAAAAACCTTTAGAGAAGAAGAATTCACCACCCTTTGAGGCAGCATCTTCCAGTGTTGAACAGCCCTTAATATTGAACAACTGTTACCTTGTAGAATCTGCCTTTAATAAATCAAAACACAGTAGGTGAAAAAATTATAGACATATGCTGTATATTTTTGAGGGATAAGAATCAAACATCATTTTCAGGGTTTGATGTTTTTCTTTTTAAAATATCTCCACCATGTGGTGAAATTTTGTATTATTTCCTGAAATTACAGTGTGTCTTTTGGAACTTGTAATGTATTTGTTTAATTCAATTTTTTGATCTTTCATTAAGCAGAAAAATCTAATTGTTTGTTCCATCTACAGGAATTGTACAAAAATTGAATCATTGTTCATCATTTGATTCAATAGTTCTGGTCTGGTTAAAACTAGCAATTGAGTATACAGTATGTTAAAATGGTTTTGAATTGTGATGTGTGTTTCCTTAAATATGCCTTAATTTTCACAGTGCAAGGACATGGAATTAGGAGAAGGTGAAAATCAATTTCTCTAGTTTTCTGATATGTTTTCCAAGTAATTTCTATATGCTTAATGATCAAGTTGAAAGTGTGGCTGTATTTATTTTTGCTTCTGGTAGGAACTTCTCTTGGTAAATAAGTATGCCTTACACACACAAAATAATTTTGTGGAAAAACATATATAAAAAGGTAAAGGTTTTCCCTGATATTATGTCTAGATGTGTCTGATTCAGGGAGTGGTGCTTGTCTCCATTTCTAGGCTGAAGAGCCGGCGTTGTCCATAGATACCTCCAAGGTCATGTGGCTACATGACTGTATGGAGTGTCATTACCTTCCCACAGAAGCGGTTCCTATTGATCTACTCAGTTGCATGTTTCCGAACTGCTAGGTTAGCAGAAGCTGGGGCTAACAGCGGGAGCTTACCCCACTCTCAGGATTCAAACTACCAGCCTTTTGGTCAGCAAGTTCAGCAGCTCAGCAGTTTAACCCGCTGCGCCACAAGGGGCCCCTTATATAGTTACCATTTAATTCTGCTCAATGAAGAAAATTTTCCCCGTGAATAGTTGTCTCCTCATCTTCCCATTCCTTATAAGCAATCCACTAAAGTGATAGATTTCATATTTCATTAAATATTTAAGATACCTTGTATACTATCAGTAACACAGGCCCCCACAAACCCTTTAAAATACATCTTTGGCCAATATGGTATATTGTTTTGTCTCATTAGCAGTTGTTGGATTAGATGCCTAAGATTCTTTAATGGAGATGCCAGAGAATTAATCCTGAGGTTAGCACTAATTGTGATCTTGAAAATTGCCACTCGTGATAACACATGAAAACGTACTGTAATTGTTGCTCTTTTACATGCACACTAGTAGTTTACCACTAATTAGCTAATGTACCACTGTCATTATGCCGTCACCACTTTTCTCCCCTTTACAGACAAGCAATTGCTATTGTCTAGTGGCTTTAAGTTACTTTGCAAATTCAGTCTGACTATATAGCAAAAGTGTGTCTTATTTGGAAGACTTTACTCATGGCAGTGCTACTGTCAACTTGATGCCTTGCATCATGCAATCCCACCAGCATGGAAACCTAATAAAGGAAACCAGAGGTCTCTGTTTTCAAGACTTGAGCAGGTCTATTGATGATTGGGGCTCATTGAAAGGATCACCTTGATCCAACTTGATGGCAAATGAAAACATCAATAATCTTTTCTCTGTTGGAATTCTGAATATTAATTAAGCATCTTTGTTGTTGCTGTTTTTGGGACTTTTATTTATACTCTGCATTTTTCCAAAACTTGAGAAATTGTTTGGCAAATTAAAATTAATATGATGCAGTTACAAAAGATCAGCATCAAAATAGAATTAAAAAGGAACAATGCAAGTAATATGAATAATTTAAAGCATGATTTAAAAAAAATCAGTTAAATCAATATGATTAAAACAGCACAGCACTTACATAAAATAATTCCCATAAAAACCTTTAGTTCTCAAAGCCTATTGGAATGGAAAACAAGGAGGAAGTCATTCTAGCCTACATGGAAAGTCTAGGGGAGTGTTTCTCAAACTCTGCTCTAGGGACAGCTACAGATAGGTTCTTGTCTTGTTTTTCAAAAGCCATACTGGTGAAAATAGTGGAAGGATCTCTTCTGAGGATTTCAGGGCTTATATAGGGAGACACGATCTGTTAAATGGGCTGAATAGCTTTTCCACCAAGTAGAACCATGTGGAGCATGTTACAATAATCTAAATGGGATGTACATATGGAATGTGTTATTGTGGTTAGACCAGGCATGCTCAGAAATGGACAAAGTTGGCATGTTAACTTTACATGGGCAAAAGCATTCCTGACCACCACAGAAACCTGGACCTCCAGGGTTTAAGGCTGAGTCCAGGAGTATGCCCCAGTTGCTAACCTGCATGTCTAATGGCCGTGTCATTGATAGTTGCAGATGGTAAGGTGATCTTAATAATGGAAAAACCAGCACTTTTAACAGCTGGAGACAGCTATGTAGAGATTGTTATAGACAGTTTGGTGGGACTTTTTTTGTCTGTATTCATCACCGGGCCTTTGGACAGTAGGTTTGGCATTAATCATAATGTTGGAATTTTGACTATGACAGGCTTTGGACTGGGTCGGTGCTTGCTAAATCAGACTTTGATTCGGCTGCATGATAATAATAATAATGTTTTAAATGCTTTAAATGTATTTTAATCTAATGTTTTATTTTTTTTTGTATAATGTATGTAATGTGTTGTATGTTGTCGGCATCTAATTGCTGCCGTTTTAAGCTGCTTTGAGTCCCCCCTTGGGGGTTGAGAAGGACAGGGTAGAAATGTTGGAAATAAATAAATAAATAATGTTGCTAAGGGGAGTGCAAGATGTCTTAACAGCATCCTCTTTACAAAAAAGTATTGAAATTCAGATTACACTGGTCATCTCTACTCCTACTGAAATTCACAGGGCAAGTAAATTATGAGTAATTTAGTTTCCATTGATACCTGTTGGACTTAACAAATGACTTAAAGTCACCATGCAAAACCACATTTCCCCCTTACAACTTTGTTAAGTTTTCTTGACTCAATTGGATGTTAATATTCTTTTCTGCTTTATCACAGCATGGTGCCTTCATCTCCCTACTCTTTCCCAGTTTTACCTAGGGCACTTCTTTGACCTTTTCACTTTAGATTCTTCATCCAGTGGAGTACACTAGCTCATATGATCTTGTAACTGCTCTTCTAATTTGATGTTTCTTTGTTATGTATTTTTTAAAAAATCCTTATCTGATGGTAGTCAGATAAATGTTCATTTTTAATGTTCACAAATCGTTTAGATTACAAAAGCATTGCAAAGAGTGGCATTCTCAGTGTTTGATAATGTCTATTGCAATCTCTTTCTTGTAAGAACCAATTGTGGTATAGTGGCTGGAAAACCACAGTGGATGACCTTAAGCAAGTCAGAATCTCTCAGCCTCAAAGGAATGCAATAGCAAACCTGCTCTGAATAAATCATGCCAGGAAAAGCTATAGTAGGCTCACACTGGGATCACGATAAGTCAGAAATGACTTGATGGCATGCAAGAATAACAGTCTTTTTTACAGGCCTGTGCAGCAAATACAAATTACAGATTTCTGTAGCTAATATGGACTTCTGTAACTATCTTTTGTTTGATTTCCCACCTTTTTTTCTGAAGGGGCTCACACTTAAGGCACATCTACACTAACCACTTAAGTCAGTATGTGTATGAATCAGCCCCACAGTGGCCAAACATCACATGGAACTGATCTGGCTTCACTCAGAGCAAGGCTTTCTTCATTCTGATTTGTTGCCTCTGTAGTGTGTTGATAAATGTGATTAAAAGAACAAGAAGTTTTAATAAAAATGTTTAGTTTTACATTTAATAATGTGTAATTATACTGGCAAGAGCTTTGATATCAAATATTCCTCCTTTAGAGAATCATTCAAAAGAAAAGCTGGCTTTGATAGAAGAAATTATAGAAATGAAGAGAAGGAAGGAACAAAAAGACAGGTTAATCTCTGCCAAAGAAGTGGAAATATTGCATGCTAAGCAGGAACTAGATGAACAACAAATTAATTTGAGTAGCAGAGAACAGGCAATCCTTGTGTTGCAAACAAAGGTAAGTTGATTTCTTTGGTAGTAGCAATTCAAAATACCAGTATAGCTATTTTCTTATTTGGGATTGGTGCATAGTATCATAAAACTGGAGACATAGACCTTCATATCATGTAAAATATTAGAACACAAAAAATGACAGATATGTCTTGTGCCTCCCCTGCCCAAAGGCATAGTTCCAGTGCAACAACTCTCCTTCCCTCACTGTAGATTGATTCCATATCAGTCAAGTGAACTACCTTTTTAATGAACAGATCCAAGTCCAGAAGTGTAATTTGTATGCTGACATTATTTGGGAAACTGGCAAGCAGCAGTTATTTCTAAACCCACAATGCAGAGATATAATATATATTATATCTCATCACACATAGCTCTCCTTATCCCCAGATTCTGCATGCTTCAATTCAACCATATTGAAATTATTAAAAAAATAGTTTCCTCCTAAGGCAAACCTCAAGTTTGCCATTTTATATAAGGAACACCATTTTACTACACCATTGTACATAATTGGACACAAAACACTATGAATTTTGGTATCCCTAGGAGTTCCTGGAACAACAGATACCAAAGACCACTGTGTTTGCATATTTCACACTTTGTATTGTATTGTACAATATCTAATGTGAAAGGACTATATCTTAAGATGACTGCATTTGGATTTAATAGTAAAATAATTTTCTTTGGTCTATAGAATACTGATCTCTTTTCACATGTTGAAATCAAATTAAGGTGAAGCAGCAGTCTGAAAAGCAGAAAGCAGTGGAGTTGCAGCTTTCTGAAAAGAGAAAGGAGTGCTTGAAAGTGCAGTCTGCTGTGCATGAAATGGAAGATAAAATCTTTAAGAAAACAGCAGAGATACAAGAATACGTTACTCATGAATTACGGTAGTAATACATGAATTGGGGAATTGGGAGAAGCTTGTTAAGGTGATATTGTATTTTACCCTGCAAATATTCTTAAGTATCATAACACCATCCATCGACTTATATCCAAGATTGCATTTTTGGCTTACTGATGAGACATACTGAAACAAAACAATAAAGATTCTAATTTCCTATAGAGAAGGCCTGTGTTACCCTCTTGAGCAGGGGTCCCCAAACTACGGCCCACGGGCCACATGTGGCCTGCCAAGGGCCTTTTTCTGGCCTGCGTGGCCTGTCTTGGCCGCGCACAAAGCCCCTCGCCGCTTGCGTCAGCTGCGTTTCTCTCTCCCTCCGGAGCGGCAGAGCAGACGCCATTGCTCTGCGAGGAAGGTGTCTGCGAATGTTGGAGGCGGCGCCGGGTGGGAAGCAAGCATCGCTTGGCCATGCCCACCCGGCGGCGCCGCCACCATTCACGGACACCTTCCTCGCCGTCAGCGATCTTCTGTTGCAGAGCAATGGCATCCGCTCTGCTGCTCTTCTCCCTCCACAGGCTTCTCCCTCCGGAGAAGCCTGTGAAGGGAGAAGCACTCTCTGCTCTCCCGCGGAAGAGCCGAAGGCGAGGGAGGCGGGGAGCCAGGCGCACGCAGCGTGAGAGGGAGGGGTAGGAAGGGAGGGGGAGGAGGAGGCACGCGCGGCGGCACAGACGGGACCCAGGCTGCGGAAGCCAGAAGTTTCCTCCCCTCCCCTTCTTCTCTCTCTCTCTCTCTCTCTCTCTTACCCTCTTTCTCTTCCTTCCCTGGCCCGTTTCCCTCCTGACTGACAGCCAGGAAGAGAAAGAGGGTAAGAGAGAGAGAGAGAGAGAAGAAGGGGAGGGGAGGAAACATCTGGCTTCCGCAGCCTGGGTCCCGTCTGTGCCGCCGCCGCGCGTGCCTCCTCCTCCCCCTCCCTTCCTACCCCCTCCCTCTCACGCTGCGTGCGCCTGGCTCCCTGCCTCCCTCGCCTTCGGCTGCTGCTGCTGCTCGGGGGGGGTGCCGTTGAGAGCGCGCGGGAGGGGCCACCCCGCTCCACAGTTCTTTGATTATAGGTAAACTATAAATCCCAGCAAATACAACCCCCAAACGCCACCAGTGTTCACATTTGGGCATATTGAGTATCAGTGCCAAGTTTGGTCCAGATCCATCATTGTTTGAGTCCACAGTGATCTCTGGATGTAGGTGAACTACAACTCTAAAACCAAAGGACACTGCCCACCAAACCCTTCCAGTATTTTCTGTTGGTCATGGGAGAACTCTGGGTCAAGTTTGGTTCAATTCCATCGTTGATGGGGTTCAGAATGTTCTTTGATTATAGGTAAACTATAAATCCCAGCAACTACAACTCCCAAATGACAAAATCATTTTTTTTGAGTGAAGGACATACATTGGGTTGTTAGGTGTCCAGTGGTTTTTGAGTTCTGTTAATCCCACAAACGAACATTACATTTTTATTTATATAGATTTATTTCCTATATTTATACCCTGCCCTTCTCCCCCTGAAAGGGGACTCATGCTTACATATTCCAAAAACCACTTTCAAAAAGACAGAAAATAGAATGTTTTCCTCATTTTAATTGAAACTATTTTATCTTCAGAAATGCTAAAACTATGCTTTATGTTCAGATTGTAACAATAAAAATACATCCTGCATATCAGATATTTACATTACGATTCATAACAGTAGCAAAATAAGACATGTGCAGTGTGCATAGGAATTTGGTCATTGGTTTTTTAAAAAAAACTATAGTCCGGCCCTCCAACGGTCTGGGGGACAGTAATCTGGCCCCCCATTGAAAAAGTTTGAGGACCCCTGCTCTTGAGAATGGATGCTATAATTCAGGAATGCAATAATTCATGGAAAATGTTGAGCCTTTGCCAGGCTTCTATATAACCTGGAGTCCATTTTTTGGAATTTGTGTCCATTAATGGCTCATGCTGTTGACCTTATTCCATGTGATGAATGTGATGAATGAATGGATGAATGGATGAACGGGCAGATCTGGCGTGCATCACGGAGACCTGGCTGGACGAAGCGGGAGGTGTAAATCTAACCCAGCTTTGTCCACCAGGTTTCTCTGTGCAGCACCAACCGAGATCCAGAGGGCGGGGAGGCGGAGTTGCAGTGGTCTATAGAGATTCCATTCTTCTGACCAGGGCCCCCATCCCGCAGTCAACAAATTTTGAATGCGTCCACCTGAGGGTGGGTGACCGGGACAGATTAGGGATTCTGTTAGTGTACCGTCCACCTCGCTGCACTACAGACTCCCTGACTGAGCTAGCGGGGGTGGTCTCGGACCTGGCATTGGAGTCCCAACGGCTGCTTGTGCTGGGGGACTTCAATGTCCACGCCGAGACCGCCTTACCAGGAGCGGCTCAGGACTTCATGTCTACCATGGCAACCATGGGGCTGTCCCAACAGGTATCTGGCCCCACCCACAGTGCTGGACATACATTGGATTTGGTTTTCTGCCAGGGATGGGAGGAAGGTGGCGGTGTTGAGGAGTTATCCATCTCTCCGTTGCCATGGACCGACCACCACCTGGTCAGCTTTAGACTCACTGCACCCCCTAACCTCCGCAGAGGTGGAGGACCCATTAAACTGGTCCGCCCCAGGAGGCTTATGGATCCGGATGGATTCCTGACGGCTCTTGGGGAATTTCCCGCCACCTCGGTTGGTGATCCTGTTGATGCTCTGGTCGCTCTCTGGAATGGGGAGATGACTAGGGCAATAGACACGATCGCTCCAGAACGTCCCCTCTCAAGTAGCCGAGCTAAACCAGCTCCTTGGTTCACTGAGGAGCTGGCAGCGTTGAAGCGAAAGAAGAGGGAACTAGAGAGCGTGTGGCGTTCGGATCCGAGCGAGCCAAATCGAACACGGTTTGTGTCCTTTTTAAGGGCATATGCCGCGGCAATAAAAGCCGCAAAGAAAACTTTCTTTGCGGCCACTATTGCGTCTGCAAAGAACCGTCCGGCTGAACTGTTCCGAGTTGTCAGAGGCCTATTAAAACCCGCCATTCAGGATGGGTGCCCTGATGACTCGGCAGCTCGCTGCGAAGCTTTTGCTCGGTTCTTCGCAGACAAAGTCGCTTTGATCCGCTCTGGACTGGATACCATATTAACGGCAGTATCTGAGGATGTAACACGAGCATCTGCTTGTCCGGTTTTGATGGATTCCTTTCAATTGGTTCAATCCGAGGATGTGGACAAGGTGCTTGGAGGAATGAGAGCTACCACATGCATCCTAGACCCCTGCCCATCCTGGCTTCTGAGGAGGCCAGAGGGGGATTGGCCGAGTGGGTGAAGGTGGTGGTTAATGCCTCCCTTCGGGAGGGCACAATTCCAGCCAGCTTAAAGCAAGCTGTGATAAAACCGCTGTTGAAGAAACCATCACTGGACCCCACTCAATTCGTCAACTATCGGCCTGTTTCCAATCTCCCCTTTTTGGGCAAAGTCATGGAACGTGTGGTGGCCTCACAACTCCAGGCATTCTTGGTAGACACGGCTTATCTGGATCCGGCACAGTCTGGCTTTAGGCCGGGGCATGGTACCGAGACAGCCTTGGTCGCCTTAGTGGATGATCTGCGTCGGGAGCTTGACAGGGGGAGTGTGTCCCTGTTGGTGCTGCTCGACCTCTCAGCGGCCTTCGATACCGTCGACCACGGTATCCTTCTGGGACGCCTCGCGGGGATGGGTCTTGGAGGTACTGTTCTGCAGTGGCTCCGCTCATTCCTCGAGGGTCGGTCTCAGAAGGTGTTACTGGGAGACTCCTGTTCAACCCCACAACCTTTGTCTTGTGGGGTTCCGCAGGGTTCAATACTGTCTCCCATGTTGTTTAACATCTACATGAAGCCGCTGGGGCGAGATCATCCGGAGTTTCGGAGTGCGATGTCATCTGTACGCAGATGATGTCCAACTCTGTCACTCCTTTCCACCTGCTACTAAGGAGGCTGTCGAGGTCCTGAACCGGTGCTTGGCCGCTGTGACGGTCTGGATGGGGGCGAACAAATTGAAATTGAATCCAGACAAGACAGGTACTCCTGGTTAGTCGCAAGGCCGAACAGGGTATAGGGTTACAGCCTGTGTTAGACGGGGTCGCACTCCCCCTGAAGACGCAGGTTCGCAGTTTGGGTGTGATCCTGGACTCATCGCTGAGCCTGGAACCCCAGGTTTCGGCGGTGACCAGGGGAGCTTTCGCACAATTAAAGCTTGTGCGCCAACTGCGACCGTACCTTGGGAAGTCTGACTTAGCCACGGTAGTCCACGCTCTGGTTACATCCCGCCTTGACTACTGCAACGCTCTCTACGTGGGGTTGCCTTTGAAGACAGCCCGGAAGCTCCAATTAGTCCAACGGGCGGCAGCCATGATACTAACAGGAGCGGGGCGCAGGGAGCACACAACTCCTCTGCTGCACCAGCTCCACTGGCTGCCGATATGCTACCGGGCTCAATTCAAAGTGCTGGCGTTGGCCTTTAAAGCCCTAAACGGTTCTGGCCCAACTTATCTATCCGAACGTATCTCAACCTATCAGCCCACCAGGACCCTAAGATCTTCTGGAGTCCCTGCTCTCTATCCCGCCGGCTTCACAAGTGCGGCTGGCGGGAACGAGAGACAGGGCCTTTTCTGTGGTGGCCCCTCGGCTTTGGAACACCCTCCCTTTAGAGGTACGATCAGCCTCCTCGCTGATGGTGTTTCGGAAGAGATTGAAAACATGGTTGTTCAAACAAGCATTTGGCTAATACGTTGCAACCGAATGTTGATGACAAAAGGACTGACAATCACGGACGACGAATTTTGGATTGGGATTTTAGTTACGAGATGCATGGGATTATTATTGGTGGCCCAATAATTTGTATTGTAAATGTGTTTCATGTTTTTAAAAATGGTATTGTTTTTTAATTGTTGTAAACCGCAATGAGTCGCCGACTTAGGCTGAGATATTAGCGGTATACAAGTCCATAAATAAATAAATAAATAAATAAATGTGAGAGGATATAGGGCAGAGATAAAGTGTCAGTGTGTCAAAAAAAGACTATTTCATTTTTCCAATTAGCCCAATGTTATTAAATATTACGAGGCAGAAATATATTGTGCCCACTGGAAAAATTAAATCTCTTTTTCAGCAGTCTGACATGTCTCTTATCTACCAATTCTTATGGCTTCTCATTCCGTAGAAACCCATAGGGGTAAAAAGATCTTCCTCTGAGACCTTGTGTATAGGTTAAACAGAGGTTATTCAGGCATAAAGTATTTTCAACCACAGTAGCAAAATTGTAAGCATTCATATGTCTCCCTTCTGCAGAAAATACAAATTGCAAATATACTGATGGCTTTTAGATGACAGGTAATAACAATTCTGTTTTGGAAATCTTTATCTTGGCTGGTTAGGGGAAAGTAATAATTGAAGATGGTACTGTAAGCTATGCATAGATTTTAATTAATAATTGTATTAATTCATTGTTTAAAAAAACAACATTAATCCCAATTTAGACAGCCCTGGGGCATGCCAAGTTTCTAGTGTTGGTCCCATCATTTTGGAACTATGGCAGATATAAACACACACACACACACACACACACACTTTTATTGCAGATTTGTGAGAGTACTCAGCTTCCCTTGTGTTCAAGCTCCCATTCCCATCCAAGTACCGAAATGCTGAATAATTAGTGCCTGTTTCATGTAGGATAGAAATCTCTTTGCTTCTTTTCTGCCCCATCTCAACCTTTTCATTCTCTGTCTTCCCATACTCTTTTAGTCTTTGCTAGACTTCCTCTCCTAATTCTTTCTCATTGAGCCTTCCCAAATGCTAACTCTTCTTACCAGGCACAAGTATTTTTCTTCCTTGCTTGCTCTTAGTGTTGCCATATTTTAATCCCCCAAACCCAGACAGACATGTTTCATTGTTATTAGCCTACATTTCATATCATTTGGTGTGCCATTACATGGCTTGGAAGCTCTACAGATAGGAAACAAAAAGTTATGGTTTCTTAGTTTTTTGTGCATGAAATAGAGGAATGCCCAATCTGCAGTTCAAGATGGATTTATATGTCCCATACTCTTTTGACTTCCCCTTTCCTACTCAAAGAGCTCCTGTGCCTTTAAGTAAGACTTGCAGCTATTCAACATTCTGGGGGTTCGTTTTCCCAACATTCTAGGGGTTAGTTTTCCCAAAAATGTAAATTACACACAGCTTACAACGTTACTTGAGGAATACATCTTAGTATATATTTTAGAATTCCAGTTACTGTAAAGCTGCTCTGTCAATTCATTGAACATAATCCTAAATCTTTTGCTACATGTTTATACCTTTTCTGATTAGGAGTGAAATTTCTTTCCTACATCAACAAATGCATGAGAGAGAGCTACTAGCAGAACAGGACAATTTCTTGAGAAGTAAAATGGTGGATGATTATGATGCTTTGACCAAGGAGAATGCCATGCTACAATCTAGACTGTTGGACCTTATCAAGCAAACAGAGATTGTAAGAAAGAAACAACCTGATCAACTGATTTCAATATATACATGTAATTGTATATGGGAGAGGTGCTGCTTTTCTATATTGTCTAATATAGAGGAATTGTTGTTCCTCTATCGTTTATTGTTTATGGGTGGGGACAGATGATAACAAAGACATCAGCACACTTCTGAATGCCTTTATTAGAAATCGGCCAGCTTCCTCTTTTTCTCAAGGGTAAATATGTTACCATTTTAAAACTAAGCCATACAAATCATATCTGTGCCTAAATAACTGGGTATTGGATGTTGGCATACAGTTGGCAAAATCCAAACATTAAGAAACAAAGAAAATATGAGACAGTTAAGTATGTAATAGCATCTGATTTCTTTACAATAATCAGCACTAGTCCCTAGCAGTTTGCTTTCAAGAACTCTGTGAAAGAATCATAATAATATGCTTCCCTACTTTTTTGTCCATATAACTTGCTACAGGAAAGAGCACTCAAGGACGAGAGTTATGCATCCCGTTTGGCTTGCGTTGCTCAGTTGCTCATAATGAAAGACCACGAAAAGCATCTGCTGCAAGCCATCAAGAGGCACCAAGAATTCCTGGATCAGCAAAAGAACACATTTCAAGACCTTGATGCTAAGGTTGGACAACTGGCAATACTCCTCAAAAGAATCAGTGGGAATTTGTTTCTTGTAATATTTGTAGTTCAGAAAATAGTAGTCCAGATTCAGTGTGAGACTGGGAAAGATTTGTTGATAGACTTCAAGCATGGTATAGGAGGGAAGGTAGTGCTCTCAGCTTTTGTAAAGTCTTCGGAAATATGTTGGTTTTGCTAATTGCTGTCATTTTGGTTTGATATCCTAGCTCCCAGATCTCTTGTGCAATATATATCTGCAAGAATGTTGCCCAGGGGACCCCCGGATGTTTTGATATTTTACTATCCTTTTTGGGAGGCTTCTCACATATCCCTGTATGCGGAGCTGGAGCTAACTGAGGGAGCTCAATCAGCTCTCTCCAGATTCTCCCCTTTAGAAAATAGAGTCTTTCCCATTTGCAAAAACACCTTTTAGTTTTCATTTTCATTGTTCTGTTCCTTGCAAAACACTCCTGAAGTATTTTATGTCATTTTATACTGACATAAATATATATTGTAGGTATAAGATTTTGTGTGTTCTAGGTATATTTACTGTTTGTGGTTTTCTCACAGATTGGATTATTGGAAAAAAGAAGTACATCTCTTGGCTTTAATAGTGCAACATTGAGGAGTAAAGTAGGTGAAATCAGAGCTTTGTTAGAGAAAGAAGAACAAAGTAATCTTCAGCTAAAAAGAGACAAATCACTGCTGATTGATCTTGCATCTAATCTACAAAAACAGGTTAACTATACTCTAATCTTATTAGGAAGTTGGGTAACTGTAATACAGCATTTGGGGCCCAGATGGGTACGACATTCTCACATGAAGAAATGATTGTCATATATGTACATTCTGTATAGGTACGAGGAGCTTTTTTGCAGTTAGCTTTCTTGAGTGCCATTCTAATAGAGAGAAGTGGGGGACACTCTCTGCCCCAGGCACAGAAAAATAAGGAGTACAGTGGTGGCTCCTTGTTCCCCATTCCACAGTTTGATGCCAGGACAGGGAAGAAGAGGTCAACTTCAAGAAATGTGAACTGACAAGGAAGAAAAGAAGGGTAGAAGTACTGCTGCTATAGTTGCAACCTGTAGATTCTTTTGAGTAAGGCAAAAAGTAGCTGCTGCTACTTTTTTAAAAAATGAACACTCCCTACTCGCAGAAGTAGCACTGTTAAAAGAAGAAAGGGTAGAGAAAAAAGAGAATCTAACAGCCCCTTCAAAACTTTTAGTATGAGGTTTTGTAGGTATAAGATTTGGTATCATACTGGAAGAAAAAAAAGGCATATTGAGATCGCTTGCATCTGATTGGCTAGGCTGCATACAGAGCTGCTGCAATATGGATCTGTTGAAAATTGCTGAATATGTGGAAAAATCAATTCTTGAATTTACATTTTCCCCTTAGTTTACTGGAAAAGAAAACAGTCTCCTCCGAGCATCCTATAAAATGTTGGAATTGGATGAAGCCATCTCAGCATTGAAAACAAGGCATGCACTTCGTCAGTCTCTTCAGTCAGAAAATTGGAGTGATGTCTCCAAAATGGCAAATTCTATGGAAAATCTCAAGGCAATAATGTCATGAACACGGGACAGTATTAGTCATACTGTTTAAGTAGGTTTTGATTTCTTCTTAGTATTGTTTTGAACATAGATACATTCTGAAAAATATTTATATGGCTTGATCAAACTATTAACTATTAATATGCGAAATGATTTTGCAGCACTTTAGAGATTAACTGAAAGACGGAAGGTGGTAGCATTCATAGATGAAGTCTGCTTCCTCAAATGCAACTGTCATTATGTTTATTATATTACATTATTGTAAGTGTTTGGGGGCTTCTTTGGGTTTTTGTTTTTTTGTTTTTTGCATATATCCGGCCATTGAATGTTCGCCTTTTTTTGTTGTAAACTGCCCTGAGTTCCCTCGTGGAGAGAGGGCGGTCTATAAATAAAGATGATTATGATGATTATTATGATTATGATTATGATGTTGGTCTTCTCTTCAGCCTTGAAAATTTAGTCATACTCAGAACCAAGGGCTTTATCACACATTAAAATAGCGTTGTTTCTTAAAAAAGACTATGCAATTGAGATTGGGCTTTTTTCTATTATACCTTGAAAATCTTTACAGTTTTGCAGTATTTGCACTAAAAGTTTATCACAGGCAGCATTTGGTATTGGCCACCCAGAATCAGCAATCCTCTCTTCCTTTTCCTAATTTGGCTTTATTTTACTAAATGTCCCCCGTCCCCCCGGATTAAACTAGTTCACTTTAATATAAACCACAAAAAAAACTCATACACACATTTTACATGCTGAAATAGTAACAGAAAAGGCTTCTGTTTAGAAAAGTATTTATTTATCCCAATAGGGGGAATCATATATACCCGTATTTTCTCCTTTAGGGGGACCAAAAATGGTGGCAGGTCATTCTGTTGAATGAATGCTTTCAGGAACATCTTGGGAGGGATACTTCAAAAAGCAAGGAGCCTCAGTTGAGGGACCTGAGCTGTATCTGTGTACATTTTTTAAAGTCAGAAATGGCTTGAAGGCATAGACCAACAATAATCAATTGCATCATGAAATGTTTTGAGCAAAATTATGTCGTCTTGGTCACATCATTTTGATTAAAAAGAGTTCATTTTCAATATGAAATTTAGTTGTTTTAGATTTTTGAACACTCATGTCAAAATATGCAAAATATACTGTTAACATTTTTCATACAAAAATGAAAGAAATGAAAAGTAAAATAAGATCTCACCCAGCACCAAGGGTTTGTACCAGTATTGTCAGCATGCCACTCCAGCAGACTAGTTCAAACATGAGTGCATATTCATTTGGAAAGTTTGAGGAGCTCTTACTTGATTTCATTTGGTGTTAGCCTTACCATCATATATTGTCCTTATTCCCACTGTGAAGCAGCCAATAGCATTCATATAGCTCTTTTTAAATTGTTATTGCACTGTCTCTTTTGTCTAAATGCACTTAATTGTTTTTGCTGTTGTATTGTATTGATGGCATTGAATTGTGCCAATATGAAGACCGCCCTGAGTCGCCTGCGGGCTGATATGGGCAGGATATAAGTGATGTAAATAAATAAATAAATAAATAAATTCATACAAGTTGGGCTTATGCTCCAAAAAGTGCTATGCTCCTGGTCCATTTTGGATATAACACTATGCAGGTAGTTTAACCTTCGAAAGATGATCCAGAGAGATGAACAGAAACTGGAACTGTTCACTCTAGGTTTTGAATGCATCTGTTTGTCAATGTTTACTTGTAACAGGAAACCGGCTGGATTCAGACCAATCAGGATCTGAAAATACAGTTACATCTTGTTTGATTTGAACTAAGTTGCTTTACTCGAAAAATAATGGAAAAGAAGGTGTTGGTTTTTGCCATGAAGCCATTCTTTGACAGATAGAGGTGTAACCACAATCACATGCGATTTCCCTCATACCAACATCAGAAGCCAGAATCCAAATTATTTTTCAGTTGAGTCCATTGATCTTTCTGTCTCCTCTTTAGTATATCTCCTTCACTTCTAAGCTTATTTCCCTTTATTTGTTGTCCTACTCGTATTTCATTCTACTCATTAATCTATATTCAGGGTTTTCTCTCCCAAACACAACAATAATGATAATCCCCCTTTCCTCCTAATATTCTAAATAATTAGTTGAGTGAAGACAGAATTGGAATCTCAGATTTAAAAATGATCAAAGGGGGAAGAAAGGCAATGGTGAAGAATTGAAAAAGTTCTGCAGTGGCCAGAAGAATCTGTGGAACATCCGCCAAGCTATGGCAAAACAGAGAAATGCCTTAACTTCCCTTATTAAATGCAGGGAGGCGGAGAAAAACCTACAGAAACCTTAATTGGCTGCTTTCAAGCTTTCCCCTGAGATAAGTCAAAACCTGTTGACTTGCAAAGTGATCCAAGGAGGAGCCAGCCCCACAAACCTCCTTTTGACTGAGCAAGTCTCAAAGTGAGATCTGAAAATCAAAGCGATTGACTGCATATCATCAAGTCTCTGATCATACAACAGATATAATACTGAGAAAAATATTTAATTCCTCCACTGAGAGAGATTTTGAGTATCGTGCTGGATTGAGTCCTTAGCAGTGTTCAAATAAAAAGAGTCCTTTGTGGAGGAAAAAAAGTACTGTATACTCAGAAAAAAAGAGGAAGATTAAGGTTTGATGAAAGGGAAAGAGACAGAAGCGAAGTTGGATTGGATAGAACAGTAGAAAAGAAGATTAAGGAGAGTGTGGAAAAGGAGAATTGGGCAACAAGAAGAGAGATGGTTTAACAAGTAAAGGTCTGATGTATCTGAAAACAGAAGTGACAGCCTTCCATATCTGCTTCTCATGTACAAAAGAATGGGAATATACAAGTAAGATGCCTGTCTTTTACCCATCTTATCACATCAGACCTACCACTTAATCTGCATTGCATTTGAATCAGACCCCTTTTACACTGCCATATAAAATCCACATTCTCTGCTTTGAACCGGATTTTATGGCAGTGTAGATGAATATAATTCAGTTCAAAGCAGATAATGTGGATTAACTGCTTTGATAATCTGAATTATATGGCAGTGTAGAAGGAGCCTCAGACTAATAATCTGACAATTGCCAAATATTCCCACAAACTAACTAGAATTATGAGCAGCAAAAGCAGGGTGGCTGCTGAAAAGAAGGGATATCAAAATCTGTGGTTGCTCAAGTCCCATTATATACAATGGTGTAGTAAAATGATGTCCCTTATTTAAAATGGTAATATCAAGGTATGCTTTTGAATTTTTTTAAAAAAAATATATTTTCAGTCCTTGTGTGGGAATCCATAGGTGCAGAATCCCTGGAGATGGAGGGGCAACTATAATTTAAAAGACATTCTCTATACGTAATTGTGAAGCCAACAGGAAATTGAAAGTTACTTGGGAAGGCCAAGAGCTTGAACACTGTTCCCACCCTAAATATCTCAGCATCACCTAAGATTGAACACTAACATTTAGGAAACACTGTGCAAACATCAAACAATAAGTAACTGCACGCAATAACATTCTGTGGAAACGTATTGATAGTGCATGGGGTGCAGACCCAAAATTAATAAGAACATCAGGCCTGGTATGCCTGCCCTATTTGGCACACATAAGACCACATGAAGCAGGTGAACATAGCACTGAATTAAACATGTAGAAGAATCACAGGATGTCTTTACACCTGCTGATAGACTCATAACAGCCCATAGGCTGTTAGGAATGGTGGGAGTTGACGTCCAAAACACCTGGAGGACCCAAGTTTGCCTATGCCTGCTTTATAAGTTGGCGTGTGTGACAAGAAGTTACAACCAATTGCAAGAAAAATAAGCTTGACTACTGAAAACCACAGCCTCCTCCCAGTAGACTCAAATTAAGGAAATGTTTCATAAGAGCCACCACTCCTCTTAATGTTCCTCCATCAACAGCAAGAATATCTCTGTGGGCAGAAAAATCACAATTCCAACTGGATGGCCCACTACGAGGATCTTCTTCCAGGGGCAAACCAAGAACAGGTAACTTGGAAGTCCCTGAACAGACCCAGAAGTGGAGGTGGCAGATCAAAAAACAATCTGGCAAAATGGCACTACCATCCTGGAAGAATCCTTCACCTTGTTTGATTGTGGAGTGGAACGAACAGGTCAGCATCTGCATGCTTGCCCATAATGCCCTGCCTCGTGCAAAGAGGAAGAACTTTAAACCATGGAAAGCATGGAAAACTTTGGCCATCCATGTGTTTTGGACTTCAACTCCCACAATTCCTAACAGCCAACTGGCAATGTCATTTAAGGCAATGTTCCATACTTCCCTATACCATGCTTCCAACGTGAGATTGATTGCTATCTTCCAATTCCTTTCAATTATAAGTCTTACCACTGTGAGTAAAATAATCACCAGTTCCATTTTTTTTCTTTCTAAATTCGGCTTTGTAGCATCCATTAGTAACGCTAACCTAGCAGGGCAATCCTATAACGTTACCTATTTCCATAAATATATTGTTCCAAAGACTCTTCAGCTAGGGCATTCCCACCATAAATGAAAATATTTTCCTTTGTGCATGCCACATTTCCAGCAGAGGTTATTTTGCTTCCTATCCATCTGGTGTAATTTAACCAGCTAATTAATTTTACATCAAAAATGAGCAACAGCAACGTCCATACAAGCCTGAGTGACATTGATACAAGCCTGAGATACAGCAGGATATGTTGTTGTTCATTCGTTCAGTCGTCTCCGACTCTTCTTGACCTCATGGACCAGCCCACGCCAGAGCTCCCTGTCGGCCGTTACCACCCCCAGCTCCCTCAAGGTCAGTCCAGTCACTTCAAGGATGCCATCCATCCATCTTGCCCTTGGTCGGCCCCTCTTCCTTTTTCCTTCCATTTTCCCCAGCATCATTGTCTTCTCTAAGCTTTCCTGTCTTCTCATTATGTGGCCAAAGTACTTCATCTTTGCCTCTAATATCCTTCCCTCCAGTGAGCAGTCGGGCTTTATTTCCTGAAGTATGGACTGGTTGGATCTTCTCAGTCCAAGGCACTCTCAGAATTTTCCTCCAACACCACAGTTCAAAAGCATCTATCTTCCTTCGCTCAGCCTTCCCTAAGGTCCAGCTCTCACATCCGTAGGTGACTACAGGGAATACCATTGCTTTGACTAGGCGGATCTTTGTTGCCAGTGTGATGTCTCTACTCTTTACTATTTTATCGAGACTGGACATTGCTCTCCTCCCAAGAAGTAAGCGTCTTCTGATTTCCTGGCTACAGTCTGCATCTGCAGTAATCTTTGCACCTAGAAATACAAAGTCTGTCACGGCCTCCACGGTTTCTGCCTCTATTTTCCAGTTGTCAATCATTCTTGTTGCCATAATCTTGGTTTTTTTGACGTTTAGCTGCAACCCGGCTTTTGCGCTTTCTTCTTTCACCTTGATTAGAAGGCTCCTCAGCTCCTCCTCGCTTTCGGCCGTCAGAGTGGTGTCATCTGCATATCTGAGGTTGTTAATGTTTCTTCCAGCAATTTTCACCCCAGCTTTGCGTTCATCCAGCCCCGCACATCGCATGATGTGTTCTGCATACAAGTTAAAAAGGTTGGGTGAGAGTATGCAGCCTTGCCGTACGCCTTTCCCAGTCTTGAACCAGTCTGTTGTTCCATGTTCAGTTCTTACTGTTGCTACTTGGTCCTTATACAGATTCTTCAGGAGAGAAACAAGGTGTTTTGGTATACCCATACCACCAAGAACTTGCCACAATTTATTATGATCCACACAGTCAAAGGCTTTAGAATAGTCAATGAAACAGAAATAGATGTTTTTCTGAAACTCCCTGCCTTTCTCCATTATCCAGCGGATATTGGCAATCTGGTCTCTCGTTCCTCTACCTTTTCTAAACCCAGCTTGAACATCTGGCAACTCTCGCTCCATGTATTGCTGGAATCTTCCTTGCAGGATCTTGAGCATTACCTTACTGGCATGAGAAATAAGGGCCACTGTACGGAAGTTTGAGCAGTCTTTCGCATTTCCCTTTTTTGGTATGGGGATATAAGTTGATTTTTTCCAGTCTGATGGCCATTCTTGTGTTTTCCATATTTGCTGGCAAATGGCATGCATCACCTTGACAGCATCATCTTTTAAGATTTTAAACAGTTCAGCTGGGATCCCGTCGTCTCCTGCTGCCTTGTTGTTAGCAATGCTTCTTAAGGCCCATTCAACCTCACCCCTCAGGATGTCTGGTTCTAATTCATTCACTACACCGTCAAAACTATCCTCAATATTATTATCCTTCCTATACAGATCTTCTGTATAGTCTCGCCACCTTCTCTTGATCTCTTCAGCTTCTGTTAGGTCCCTGCCATCTTTGTTTCTTATCATACCAATTTTTGCCTGAAATTTACCTCCAATGTTTCTAATTTTCTTGAAGAGGTCTCTTGTCCTTCCTATTCTGTTGTCTTCTTCCACTTCCATGCATTGCTTATTTAAAAATAGTTCCTTATCTCTTCTGGCTAACCTCTGGAATTGCGCATTTAACTGGGCATATCTCCCCTTATCCCTGTTTCCTTTTGCTTTCCTCCTTTCTTGGGCTACTTCCAGTGTCTCAGCAGACAACCATTTTGCCTTCTTGGTTTTCTTTTTCTTTGGGACGTACTTTGTTGCCGCCTCCTGAACAATGTCTCGGACTTCTGTCCATAGTTCTTCTGGGACTCTGTTTACTAAATCTAGTCCTTCAAATCTGTTCTTCACTTCCACTGTATATTCGCTAGGAATGTTAGTTCCTAGGATATAACAGCAGGATATATCTTGCTTTAAATCCTGTGGTAAAGCTTTGACTTATTCTGCTTATTCACATTTACCAACCCTCACATTAATGTATGTAAATAAAAATTTATATATATATTTTTAAAAAATTATTTAGCTGTTTGTGCTCCCATTATTTTATCAGGTTTTTTTAACTTATTTATTTATGCCATGCTTTGGACACGAAATAAAGAAGGCGGCTGAAGACGGGGCGGTCCGGCAGGTGGCGCTGTTGCGCGCGAAGACGCCTCCGCCTGCGCGGCCGGGAGGGAGAGAGCGAGCGAGCGAGCGAGCGAGTGAAGGCGGCCGGTTGAAGCCGCGGCTCAGGAGCCTCCTTTGGCGGCGGAGTGGAAGCGGGCAGCCGGCGTCCTCTGCCCCGGAGCAGGAGGAGAAGGAGGGCAACTTTCCCCCCGAAATGGAAGCCCAGGCGGAAGGTGAGTCCCGCCTCCCTTTCTCTCAGGTTTCCCTCTCTCCCTTTCTCAAAGGGTTCAAAAGTTTCCAAGGCCCCCAACCCGCTCATTTGCTTGCCCTTCTTTCCCCCTGAGGTCTCTACCTTTCCAGAGGTGTGAAACCAAAACATACTCTTTTGCAGGGATTTCTGTATGACCTAAAACACAAACTTAGACTAATAATACCTCAGCTGTTGTTCCTTCCGCTCAGTTTTCACCTGATCACAGCAAGCGAGGGGAAGGTTAATCCTCCCGCCTCTAATTCTGGCAACGCCTGACCTGACAGAGGATGTATACATAGATCAGGCCTGGGCCAACTTGGGCCCTCTCTCCAGGTGTTTTGGACTCCAACTCCCACCATTCCTCACCGCTTAAGCGGCTGAGGGGAAAAAGGAAAGGGCCTGAGGCTGTGAGGAATGGTGGGAGTTGGAGTCCAAAACACCTGGAGGGAGGGCCCAAGTTGGCCCAGGCCTGGTATAGACAGACAGAATAAATCTGAGGTCTTATCCTGACTTTCTAATTGAATTCCAAGCCTGGCTATCTTGAGCTCCAGTTATTCATACAGGCTTTGAAATATGAAGGTCTTTCAGATCAATTCAGAGGGGTGCTGTGGTTTTGAATTTGTCTTGAATGATTTCTAAAATACTGTTTATATTCAATCCTGTTTGTATACTAGTATATTTTATCATGGCTGTTCTGATGCTTTTATGTTAACCCTGTGGGGGAGATAAAGCAGGGTGTGAACATAATCTATATAAATAAAAATGTAATGTACGTTTGTGGTATTGACAGAACACAAAAACCACTGGGTGAATTGCCGCCAAATTTGGCCACAAGACACCTACTAACTCAAGGAGTGATCATCACTTAAAATAATAGATCTTGTCATTTGGGAGTTGTAGTTGTTGGGATTTATAGTTCACCTACAATCAAAGAGCATTCTGAACTCCACCAATGATGGAATTGGGCCAAACTTAGCACACAGGGCTCCCGTGACCAACAGAAAAAACTGGAAAGGTTTGGTGGACATTGACCTTGAGTTTGGGAGTTGTAGTTCACCCACATCCAGAGAGCACTGTGGACTCAAACAATGATGGATCTGGACCAAACTTGGCACGAATATTCCATATGCCCAAATATGAACACAGATGGAGTTTAAGGGAAATAAACCTTGACATTTGGGAGTTGTAGTTGCTGGGATTTATAGTTCACCTACAATCAAAGAGCATTCTGATCCCCACCATTGACAGAATCGGGGCAAACTTCCCACACAGAATCCCCATGACCAACAAAAAATACTTAAGGCCATCCACTCCAACTCCCTTCACCAGGGCAAGAAAACGTAATCAAAGCCCTCCTTCCAGCCATAGATATAGATAGATACGATTCACACACACACAGATATAGTATCATAGATTTTAAAGGGACCCCTAAAGAAGGACAATTATGTGTTGCATGTTCCAGAGTAGGGAAACCAAACAATTTCCACAACACTGACAAAGAAACAGCAAGAAATACTATGTACCGACAAGCATTAAGAAATCACATATATTAGAAACCAACACTTTCTCATTACTTTATTTTCCAGATCACTAGACTGGGCCACAGCAACGCATGGCAGGGGACAGCTAGTCTATATAAATAAAAATGTAATGTTCGTTTGTGGGATTAACATAACTGAAAAACCCCTGGACGAATAGACACTAAATTTGGACACAATATGCCTATTAGGCCAACTAGTGACCATCACTCATAAAAACACTGAAAAACACATCAGAAGAGACTTAAAAAGCCAAAGAAAAATACATTACAACGCGTGTGCAAAACCACATATATAAATACAGACACACATATATGCACATATACACAAATATATACACACACACATATACACACACAAAACACATATACGCACACTGGGCCACAAAAATGGGTGGCAGGGGATGGCTAATAATAATAATAATAATAATAATAATAATAATAATAATAATGGCCAAGCGATAAAGTGTCACCAGCCAGAGGCCTATAAATATCTGGGCATACTACAGCTGGACAACATCAAACATGAATATGTGAAAACTGTGGTCAGCAAAGAATACATTCAAAGAGTCAGAAAAATTCTCAAAGGCAAGCTCAATGGAGGCAATACCATCAAGGCCATAAACTCCTGGGCCATACCTGTCATAAGATACACTGCTGGCATCATAAACTGGACTCATGCAGAACTGGACAATTTGGACAGAAAAACAAGAAAACTCACGACCATTCATAATTCACTACATCTGCCTAGAAAGTCTGGTGGCAGAGGACTTTTACAAGTATAACAAGCAGTTGAAGAAGAAAAACACGCCCTGGCAGAATATGTAAAGGAATAATAATAATAGACTCTGACACAAGCTAGTAAAGGTGGTCCCAATAGTGATCGGGATACTGGGTCCAGTGCCTAAAGACCTTGGCCTGTTATTATTTCTTCACTGTGTTTGAAAACGTCCGATTTTTATGCACAGATTTTAAAAACACACTTTCTTTCAGAAGTATTTGCAGTTTTCACTGGCACTGTCTTATCTCTGTCTTACCTGCTTCTTCCTATGTGACTTACAGGTGGGCTACACGTATCACCAAAGTTCATTTCTGGATTTTATAGTTATCAGTCCTGGATAACGATTGATGTGTTCAATTAAAAGCTCTTTCGCACCTTGGAGATGAAACAGCATTTATAAGATGTTCTTAAGTTTTAGTCCACTAATGATCCTCCATCTGGTATATAAATAAATGTTTCCATCTAGGTTATCACAGTCTTATCTCTCCAGGGCTTTGCTTGGATTGCTGTATAACAGGCTGAGCAATATACAGCAAACTTATCTCATAAAATTTACTACATCATAAACAATTTCCCCCACTCCATTGTTTTATCTGTTTTTGCTGTATTGACCAACAGATATTTTCATTTGCTAGGTCTCCTTGTATGCTTGGTTTATTCCATATGCCATGATTTTCAGATGGAAATGGGCAAGCATTAAAATGCCTATTATTAGTCAAAGAGTGGCCAGTTAGAGTTTTTCCATACAGTGCTTGGCTTTTAATGACCTCTGTCCTCACTGTGGAAAGAGTAATCCTCTTCTTGTGACTCCGACAATCTCCTGTATTGTACTGTTTTCCTAGGCACACAGAATCATTGGAGAATGCATTTCATATTGCATTGGTATTTTTTTAACATTGAAATGTTTAAAAAGTAATGTGTTGTGGCTTGGCAATATATCTACATTAGATAATGCCACAAGCCTAGAAAAATACAAGGTGTTGTCGAAGGCTTTCATGGCTGGAATCACCGGGTTGCTGTAAGTTTTTTGGGCTGGTGTTTCAAAAGCTATATACAGGCGATCCCCAAGTTGCAAACAAGATGGGTGTTTAAGTTGAATTGGTATGTAAGTCAGAACAGGTTTTGAGCTTTGGATAGCATAGGGGTTAACCCCCCTATGGTGGTTGTTTTGCTGTCTGTGTCCGGTTCAGAAGATTTCACCTCACTTTCTGTCCCTGTGATAATTGGATTTTGAAAATTTTGGCTTGTTATGGAAACGAGGATTGGTAATAAAGCTTCAAAACACCTTTTCTCCATGATAACTCTTCCGGGAGTGGATTTCCCTTCTTAGTGGTAGATTTCTCTCACTTCCTGTTGTCTCATTCCTGCTCTTAAGTGTGAGTCATTTGTCAGTAGGATGCTTGTAACTCAGGGACTGCCTATATACAATTAGTCCATATAGATCAGGCATGGGCAAACTTTCCAACTTGGGGACCACATGGCGGACATGAGCAGGGTGAATGGGCTGGAGGAAGGGGGTTGTCCCCAAGTCCCCTTCATCATGACCTTTCCTTTTCTTTCTCTTCCTCTTCTCTTTTGGAGGCAGAAAGTAAAGGAAAGACAGGAAACATTTGGATCTCAAAAGGGTTGGTCTTGATCAGGATGAGATGGTGGAAGGGAGAGAAAAACTGTATCCATTAGACCCCGTATTGTGTGCTCCTGATATTGAATCCTAGAGTTGGAAGAGATCCCCAAGGGTCATCCAGTCCAACCCCCTGCTATACAGGAAGGCACAATCAAAACACTCCTAATAGAATGCCTCTACGGAAAAGCCCCCTGAGAAGGAGACTCTATCATACTCCGAGGCAGCCTATGCTACTCTCCAACAGCTCTTCCTCTCAGGAAGTTCTTCCTAATCTTTTCAATCGAATCTCTTTCCCTGCCATTTGAACCCATTGCTCCCTTGTGCCCTGGTCTCTAGAGCAGCAGAAAGTCAGTTTTTCCCCTCTTCCTCAATGGGACACCCTTTTAAATTTTGAAACATGGTTCTCATGTTCCCTCTCTACAGTAATAATAGAAATAACAATAACAATAATAATACTTTATTTATAACCCCCCCCCCCCCCCCATCTCCCTGAGGGGACTCAACCTTCTCTTTTCCTAGCAAAACATATCCCAGGAGGAAAGGAGGAAGAAAAAAAAGAAGAAAGGGAGGCGGAAGAGACGGTTGGAAGTAAGGGTTGAAGGGAACGGAGGGAGGGAGGGAGGAAAGAGAGAAGGAAGGAAAGACAAAAGGGAAGGAAGAAAGAAGAAAGAGGGAGAGGAAAGGAGGGAGGCAAGAGGGAAGGAGGGAAGGATGAAAGGAAAAAGAGGCAGGAAAGGAAGGGAGGGAGGGAAGGATGGTGGAAAGAGAGAAAGAAGGAAGGATATGATGGTGTGAGAGAGGAGGGCCTGAGAAAAGAGCCCAAGGGGGCACATCTGGCCCCCAGGCCTGGGTTTGCCCATTCCTGATATAGATGGATTGAGATTGTTTGTTTTTTGTTTTTGTTTGGGGGGGGGGGGGGGGTGGAAAAAGAAGCTCCCCAAAGTCTCTCTCAACTGACACAATAAGAATTAGTTCTTAGAGCTCCTTTGTTTTTTTTTTGGTTTTTTTTAATATATGCTGGTATCGAGTCCTCAGAAAAAT